TGTGTTTTACGATGGTCTTTGGCAACCCCTGTGAAAGGGTCGTTTAACTCACAAAAGCATCACGACCCAAAAGTTGAGAACTGCTGGTCTAGAGGTACCAGATCTTGTGAGTGCGTTACTCATAACTCCTTTGTACAGACTGATAGCCTCTATAATTATAAGACAAAAATACTGACAGTTCTTCATTTGTGTACTACGAGTCTGTTTGTGCGTATATATATTTTCTGTGTACATAGCCCGTATTTAACTTTCATATATTTTAGAAAAATGCAAATGTATTTGTATGAAGTCTCTTTCACGTGTTGACGTCAGCAGTAATTTCCGGTCTCAGATAGTAAATAATACTGACGTGAGTCGATCAGATCCACCCATTGCCTTCATGTACTTGCTTTTTGTCTTTGTCATGTATGATTGATTGAGTGTTTGATTTATTATTAAACTGTTTCATTACCAGCTAGTTGTAACATGTAACAATAGTTCATCATGTTACTAGAAACAGTTTCTTTAAATAGTCAATGTTTCGGTCTAAACAATAAGACAGTCTGCAGAGCGGGTGAATGTTCTAAACGTGAGCTAATAAGAACAGAACATGGACAACTAGGACGGGAGAAGGGAGAACAGACAGACAGACTGACAGACAGACAGACAGACAAGACAGACAGACAGACAGACAGAACGAATGAACAAATTTTATTTTCAAAGGGTTACAAATTGGGCACGCAGGCCCGTCTGACATTCAGCCCTTCTAGACACTCATTTTTCAGAGTACCAATACCTGTTATCAATAAAAGCATGTTATGGATATAATAAAGAAATATAAATTATAAAATAATGCATACACACATCATGTGTACACACTCACACACACGTATACATACGCCTACGTTCTCATACATGCGAACTCAAATACAGACACGTGATACATACACACACGCATCTACATACATATACAAACATAAAACACATACATATACATAGACATAAATGCACAAACAGAAAACACACAGACACATACATTTATGGACATACAGGCACACACACATTCCATACATACACACCTATACATGCATCCATGCATACACACATATACAGTCACATGTGCAGACACCAACATATGTCCACAACCAAACATTTACACTTACATGAATATACATACCCACATGCATGCATACATACATTCACACATACATGCATACATACACATACATGCATACATACACATACATGCATACATACACACATTTATACATAAACTCACATCTTTACACACATACATACATACTTAAATACACACATATACGCCGACATACTTACACATCTAAATATGCATATATACATCCACCAATATGCACACGTACACACATAGGTACATACATACATGCATACATACATGCCTCCACACATTACATACATACACACACCATGCATGCATACACACATATATAAAATCACCCATACAGATATTACATACACACATGCATACCTGCATACATACATACTAGCATATATTATATACGCACACACCCACAATCACACATACACTAATATGCTATCACACATACTTACAACATCGATACATAAATACACACACATACTTACAAACCTAAATATACTTTCAAATATCCACATACATACACACACAATCACACACACACATGCATACTTGCATACATTTATAATTACACAAACACCCAAAAACCTACACAGCTACATATACCTACATTTAGCCACATACATACATAAATACACCCACACATACAATCACATACTTACACGGCTACATTTACATACATAAATTCTCATACATATAGACATACATAATACGTACTCGCACTACATACATATATACGCTAAGTCTACAGGCATACACAATACAAGGCTAAATCTACAGGCATACATAATACAAACATACGTCAACATACATACATACATACACCCATATACCAATATAAAACACACATACCTACTTACATAGACATACATGCATACACACATACATGCATACATACACACATCCATACATACACTCACATACTTACAAACATACATACAAACTTTCAAACACACCTAAATACACACACATACTTATACAGATACATATGCATACATACATCCACCAACATGCATACATACACACATACATACAAATACACACATAACATACATACACACGTATGCATGCATACACACATAAATAATCACACAAACAGACACCCTCCTACAAACATTCACATATATATGCCTGCATACATACATACTTGCATACTAATACACACACACCCACAATCACACATACACCCACCTATATACACCCATATCCTTACAACTTACATACTTAAAAATACACACATACTTACAAACCTAAAAATACATACATATATCCACATACATACAAACACACACACACTGACAATCACACACACCCACAACACACACCCACATAATGCACATATATAAGTAAGATGATAATGCATGTGAATTATTAACTACATCTATGGTGGCATATAATCACTAGTAAGCAGGCATTTAAAAAGGCTACGGTTAAATGAGACAGACAGACAGACAGACAGACAGACAGACAGACAGACAGACAGACAGACAGACAGACAGACAGACAGACAGACAGACAGACAGACAGACTAGATAGATAGACAGACAGACAGACAGATTAGACAGACAGACAGACAGACTAGATAGATAGACAGACAGACAGACAGATTAGACAGACAGACAGACAGACAGACAGACAGACAGACAGACAGACAGACAGACAGACAGACAGACAGACAGACAGACAGACAGACAGACAGACAGACAGACAGGACAGGACAGACAGACAGACAGACCGACCGACGACCGACCGACCGACCGACCGACCGACCGACGACCGACCGACAGACAGACAGACAGACAGACAGACAGACAGACACAGACAGACAGACAGACAGACAGACAGACAGACAGACAGACAGACAGACAGACAGACAGACAGACAGACAGACAGACAGACAGACAGACAGACAGACAGACAGACAGACAGACAGACAGACAGACAGACAGACAGACAGACAGATAGATAGATAGATAGATAGATAGATAGATAGATAGATAGATAGATAGATAGATAGATAGATAGATAGATAGATAGATAGATAGATAGATAGATAGATAGTGGTTAGGACAAGTAAATAGTTCCCAGCGGAACTGCAAAAATAATTAGGCTCTTTAAAGTGAAGACAAGTTTTCTTCTTGAGCAAGTGGTGTGAAATTCAGCTCACGACTCTGACCATGCTTGAATAGACAAAGTCACACATCCTACATGTATTTCCATGTAAAACCTACAGTGCAGCACCATATACCTCTTGCTCTTATCGATTTTTAAAATTTTCTGATACTATCCTATACATTTTAAGGGGCACCGCCACAGTACCACCAACAGTTCCACCCCACCCCTCCCCCGCCCCACCTCTACTGCAATATACTTTTTTCAAGAATTCCCCGTGGCCATTCCAGAGCCACAATCTGGGGAAAATAAAAAAGACACACTGCCTCCCCAACAAGCATGTCGTAGAAATCGACGAATCAGGGATTTTCTTCTTAGGCGTAGTGCATCTGCCCAAGCAACAAGGAACAGTCAGCTGCAAAAATAATATGCCAGTAAAACGGATGTACACGGCAAAACTCAGGCCCAGACACAAAGCCAGTGTGGACGAACAACCAGAACTGTCTGTTGGGGCTTACAGCCGGTGAACAAAGAAGTTGAAGAAGATTGCAAATACCAGTGAATATTCACTCCAGTTCTATGGATAACAGTCAATACCTTCCGCCCTACCTCTATCACTCAACCCCCTCCCCCCCCCCCCCCCCCCCCCACACACACACACACACATCGGAACTGAAAGAAACTATGTTTCTCGCCAGCTTTCCCGTCTCGTGAACTTTCCTATTCAAGGGTCACTTATATACTGTGCCCACTTCGTGTTGATGGGTCCCTGCCTCTCCTTCCTGGTACTATGTCTTTTGCTATTATTTTTTTCCAATCCGCCATAGTGATTAGTAAGGATTATCATCTCAGCACTCCAGACAGATCCATAGGGGCTCCGATCTCCTCCTCAGAAGCTCCACAAGTGTAAAATGACTGATGACGCCTGTTCTGTGCTGGTTAATGAAACGTCTTGTGCCCTTGGTGAAATGTTCATTTCTTGCAGCTCCAGGCTGCACCCCCATGTCCATCAGTCTAGACAGGGATATGGAGTCATGTCCTTTGGCGTGCTCCTCGGTACAGTAAGTGCAGCGCATGGCATTGATAACATCATTTCTTTTCAGTACTGGGCATGCATATATGTAATGTATGTATGTAATGTATGTATGTATGTATGTATGTATGTATGTATGTATGTATGTATGTATGTATGTATGTATGTATGTATGTATGTATGTATGTATGTATGTATGTATGTGTGAGCGCGTGGTGTGCGCGCGCGTGTGTATGTGTTTGTGTGGGTGTCTGACCCCGGAACCCACGAAGTATATAACTATTGGATACACGGAAAGCGAAAGTTGACGACAGTCATCATTGACACCGAAAAGCTGTCATCTCATTGGCTGCCGACAGAAAACTGTGACTAAGTTCCTGCAGCGAAACGAAAATCATATGCAAATGAGATCACGACCAGACGACAATGACATCAGAAGTCAGCTGTTGAAGCCGGCGGCCGGTCACCATCCTCGATCTTTCCACTTCATCAGTGAAAATATATCCCGTCAGAGTCAAATCACTTAGCCACATCAACTGTTCATTGTTATCAGTTGTTATTATTAACCTTAAGCCGGTAAAATTGATGATTGTGATTCAGTTGTAGTAAAGCGGGCGCTCCCTGGCCGTGCGACGCGTACCGACGTTGAAGTGACGCAAGACAAAGAGACGTGTTTTAATATTTCGTGTCTTTGGAAGGATAGAACTGACTTCGATTTCACCATTTCGTCCATTTATGTGAAATATGAAGTCTGACTTTGAAAAGCTCACAGATCGTTTGAAGACAGCTATGAGTTCTTTCTTAGAAGGTGCCAAATATCGCCCTGATTATTCTGTGATCATAGAGACGGACTTTGAGCACGAAAAGTACAGAACCAAGTTGGGTAAGTTTGTAGAAGTGAACAATCTCTTTTCCTCTCTTGATTTGATTACATGGGTTCAGTATGTGGTGCTAATTCAATAATTTTAAAACAGATTGGTAGAATGTGAGATGTGATAAATACCCCGTCGGTTACCTAACTTTTCATAGACTTTGCTGATACCAATTTTAAGGCTTGGTCTTGAGAGTCTGGGCTCTGGCTCAGGTCACTTAAGAAAAATATCTCTGAAGTTTCTAATCTCAGTAGGTTCATATTGATTTATAATAATTATGAAGATAATGATGGTGATGGTACTGATGCTCATCATAATGAGGATAATATTGGTGATGATATCAAGTGCTCAAGTCCCTTTTCAAACTTTCTAGGGAAAGTAGCTCAGGAGCCTAAGCCTTCTTTTTGTACATAATAATAATTTTCTGAATAGCCGAAATATAATAATGAAATTAAAATAATATATGTATAAAAAAAAAAACCTACAAGAAAACGCTTAAACATGTTGGTGGGTATGGGCTAAGTACACTATTACATCCTAAAACTGTTCTGTGATTGTGGGTGCTCAGCCAGGTCCTTCTGTATATAATAGAGTAGGCTGCGGCTCAGCATACATAAGCCCCTGGGTTACTACATCCCTGGATGAAAGTGGGACAGACAACATACTGATAATGATTATCATCATAATTATGATGTAACTGATAGTGATAAATTTGGTGTACATTTGATATGATAATTATCCTCTCTTTGCTAACCTGGACTCAGTGAGTGTTGCTGAACTGTTGTGTCTGCAGGACACTGTTAACCACATTGTAATCATGATGTGACTTTTATTGGAAATATAACTCTAGTAGTGGCTAAAATAAAGATTATTTCCTGCCCTTAGTTGTTTCAGGCATACAGTGCTAGCCCTATATGTTATAGACCCATCAGCACTCAGTGGGTGATGTGGTCAGCATTGCTCCTGCGCCTTTACTTCCCAGGACTTTACCTTGTACCCATTTAAGGCTGGTTCACCTGGGAGCCATAGTCAATTTTGAAAAGTTAAAAAAAAAAAATATTTGAACTCAAGACCTTTGGATCTGCAGGCGAGCAACTAGATGCTACACCACAACAGCTTCCTGCTGAATTAAGGGCAGAGCTTTTTGGTTGTTGAAAAAACAAACAGGTGCCGGTACCCACCATAAAGTCTAATGAATGGTGGTGCTACTCACCACAGATTATTTATTACAGTGGTGCTTAAAAGAAAGTACCTGGTACTGTATACCATTGTCTACCACCAGGAAAAAAAAAGCTTTAATTAAATGTATGAAGTGATGCAGTGTCACATACTTCAGATCAGTTTAATAAAGATATAGAGAATGTTGTACATCACCAGGGATGGAGCCAAGTAATTACTGACCTGGTTTCATCAGTCGACAAGTCAAAGTAAAGAGTTATCAGGGGCATCTGACCGACACTTAGCACTCAAGGGAAAGGCGAGACATATACTGGTGCTATCAGAATTGGAACTTTTCGCTCGCTGTTGTAGATGGGGAGGGAGTACTTATGGGAATGTCCCGATTGCTTTGATGTTGATTTTAAAATTCAACATTTTGATCTGAAAATGGGTCATTCAATTTTTTTTGAGCTGAATAAAACGGAATATCCTAGAGAAGTAATTTTAGCCTTTCCACACCCCTCCCCTCCAAGGTGAAAGGTTTAATTAATCTGTGACTGTGATGTTAAAACCTGTTTGATCCATTGTCACCAAGAAATAATGAAATGGTATGCTCTTTAATACTACTGAAAAAAAAAAGTATTACAATGAAAATTGCCATCAACACTTTTCAGGTATTAAAAGTACCTTAAAACCAATGAAATATATAATATCTACATATGCAACTATATGTTCTGTTCTTGAGCTAGTCCCTAGATTTTTAAAAATGAGGGTGTTTTGGAGTACCAATTGGATGGCCCTTGAAACACGTAACAAACAGTGCAATAGATTTATGGACCCTTGTTGTCTTCAAATATATGACATGCCTCTCTCAAACGCTAAGCTGTTAACCTATTTGCAATCATTTTCTTGCCTGTCCCTATTACTTTTCTCATTTTCCTCCTCCATACAATGCAATATACAGCATCCCTTCCCATGAATCCACCTGTGTTTAAAAAAAAAATTTAATATAGTGCAGACTTGATAAGGATAACACACCGGGGACCCAGAAATTGTTCTTCTTATCAGAAGTTCTTCTTATCCAAATAAGGGTTTGAGCAGGAAAAATTCCCAGGGATAACAAACTGTTCTTTGCAGCAGAAATTCACCACATCCAAGATCTCTTTGAGTGGTCTGCAGAGAGTATTGTTTCGATTTCATTCTCATTTTACTTTTTATATTGCATATACATCTGTTTCCACAGATGACAGAAATCACAACATGAGCTTCTCTAACGACTTCACCGACATATTCGACACCAAAACTTGTGAGGAAGTGCAGGCAGAGTTAGAAGCTGCAATCCGAGATGCAGCCGACAGAAAAATGTGCTGCCAGGTGATATACCCCCCAGATCTGGTCTCTCGTGTGGCACAGGATGTTCTCCGCATGTCTACAGCAGAACCCTGTGGCATCGATGGTTGTGTCATCTACATAATGCTCAAAGAAAAGGACAGATCTTACCCACTTGCGACTGTATTAGGCAATCCCTCAACACCACCTACATTTGAAATCCACCTGACACTCAGAGAAGATGATAAAAGTTGGAGAAAATTCCAGAAATTGTACTATACAATCAAAGGTTGCATTCTTAACTCTCAGTGGAAGTCTATACCTAGGATTCTATGTTCTGCTTATCAGTTGGAAAAGAGAAGACTGTACCGTCGTTCTGTATGACCAATCAGAAATACAACAGGTGTGATTCTTGGCAAGATAACTCTGCATTATGCCGGTATTATCGAACATATCCGGTGTAAACAAATCGTGTTGAGGCATTTGTAACAGTTAATACTTGCCATATATTTGAAAAGCATTTCTACAGTTGTGTTTGTAAATTACAGTTTCTTGTTTTTATTTGGGTATTTTAAAGTAGGATGCATTACTGATTCAGTCGTGCCACTTTTAAACTGAACTGTGGAAACAACTTTGATCTGTTTTTGTCTTGTCTCTTTTACCCCGGTGTACAGAGGTGAATTCGTTTTGCCTCTCCTATTTAGTTTAGGGATAGATTAATTTTGTTACCTTTTCTCCTCTGATGTATAGATGTAACTCGGCCTTAGTTAGCTTTGCCTCTTCTATTCTGAGGTGTAGTGGTGCTTGTTGGTATTGTTAGACCACCACACCACTACCCACCCCTTTTTGAGGTTGTAATTATTTATATTGTAGCTGTTGCTGTCATGTTTTTGTCCATGAGGTTAGCTATGATTGACAGGTAAAACAACTGGGAGAGGTGACAGAATAGTGCATTTAAAGGTGAAGGGTAGGTGGTGGAGAGTGGAGGATTGAATGTTGAAGAATGGAATGGCAGCTTTAGTGGTAGGGTGAAGGAGTGATAGGTTGAATAGTTAACAGTGAAGGAGTAGTAGCAGCTTTAATGGTTAAATTGGAAAGTGGTAGGTTAAATAATTATAATCTCACAAACCTAAGGCAGCCTTTGCAGGTGGATTATTTTAACTTTGTTTACAAAATAAACGAAGTGGTTTGCATATATCAAAATAAGGAAAATACTGTATTTTTCTGTGTAAGACAACCCATTTTTTTTTTAAAAAGCCCAAAATTAAGAACTAAATAGTTTATAAACACATTTCATGTATATAAAGGCTCCCAGTTTTAAACTTAAAAAAAAAAACGGAGAAAAAAAAAAGATTGTCTTATACATGGACAAATAAGGTGTTTTTTTAAAAAGATATATGCATGTGAGATGTGGATCGATAACTTGAGTTTGAATATGCTTATTTTGTTTCTTCTCTCTGTGCTCTTAAAAGGGTGGTTGACAAGTTGTGTTGTGGTTTACAGCTAGGTTGTGATATCTGCATATTTAAGCAACACCATATGTCAGTAAACCTCTGATTAGTTGTCTTTCCAGACATGCTTGTTAAAGGGTCTACCCCTCCCTCTTCTCTTTATCCCCCCAACTGGAGTCCTGGAAACCACAGGGAGAAACCGGATGACAGCTGTGCTGTAAACAGATGTCCAGAGCAAACAAACAAAATATCCCTGGGAGTATTGTTAAAAATGGCAAGTAGAGCTTACGGCCTCACAACAAAATAGGGAGATAGCAAAAATAAACTCTCCTATTTTATATAAACAGAAAGATCATGTGATCAATTTAAAGTTGCCTTGGAAATCACATGATGGTTTGGAATTTCTGGCAGACAGATGTACATCAGCTCACCAGTGTAGTTTATCCATTTCAGCAAGAAAAGGATTAATTCTGTGCTTCATTATATGTTGATTTAACTCTGTAGTAATGCACCCGACGAGATACATGAAAATATTTCAGGCAATAAGTTGTGCAATGTATTGTTTGTGTCCGCATTATTTAAATTTACAATAGGAAAACACTGTTTTGAAAGAAACTTTACTTCATTTTAGGACCAGCTGGCAGATTTCGTAGACAGTTCTGGTCATAAAACAATTTAGTACCATTTTAAATGACTGTGGCATTTGAAAAAGACAGCAACATTTGAAAGTGACTGCAACAGTTGACAGTAACATTTCAGACTGACTGAAATTTTATATGAGGTTTGAACAACGGATCAACATCATGGCACACGGGTAGTAACTCATAAGTGCTCTGTTCTTTTTTTCTAACTCAAGTCTGAGTCTGGAAAAGCTCAGCACAGTGCACAGTATCTGTAGCACCGGCGAGGATCCTGAAATACTTTAGGTAGATTTTAAACTCCAAATCTTTGCCCGGGTAGCGTTGTTAGGCTACTCTTTTCGAATTCCAACTACTAAAGGATTTTTTACGTGCGCAACAATGCGCATGGGCGTCTGATCTCACTACCCAGAGACCAGGGGGAATTACTAGAAGTCCAAGTCCACGTGAACAAATCTCAGCTTTTACCGGGGATTGCTGCTGGAACCTCTAGCACTTTAGGCCACGCAGCACCCACCCGTTATCGTCATGCGTCAGGTTGTTTGTAAAGCTTTGCTTTGCTCTATTAATTAACGTCTTTACTAGTTTTCCTGTATTTTCGTGTCCAATTGTAACAGGCTAGTTTTGTTGTTGATAATTGTGTATGACCTTCCAATAATTTCAAAATAATTTCATAAATGTTCAAATGGCCTTGGAGAAAAAGGTCCCCACCCAGAATGTATAAGTCAAAACATTTTATGTTCTTAGTCCATGGTGTATTTAAGTCCAAAGTCCCTCTTCTTTAGTGATCGAGGAATGGTCTATGGCTAAACAAATGTCGGATGACGTTTCCTATAATTTTTTTGTTACAATCCAGTGTGCCTAAACTTATATATTATTATGGTGCTCTTAACTTTGTCCTTTTTTTCTTTTGTGTGTCCTTCCTCTTTTGTCCTCTGTTTTTATTGCCACCTTATATTTAATTGTCTGTCTTCTAAGTAATCTCAGAAAACTTCTTACAACATCAGGTTGATACAGTTACTTCTTGTCTTCTGTGTGTTATTTATTTGCTACTTTATTCTGTATCTCCAGGCTATTCAACTCGTGTCCTCAGAGACCAACATGTTAGAAAACTGGGAGGTCCAGAGGCCAGTCCCAGCATAGAAAGATCATTATTACCATAGAGTTGGCAGGTGATCCATCGGCCACTTGCTAGGCAAGGGCCAAATCTGATCCCTTCAGCCAGTTGAATAGCCCTGCTGTATGTTACCTGTCTTCTTTCTCTTATTTATCACCTGTCTACTTCTGTTTTATGTCTGTCATATATTTCTTTCTCCTGTATGTCATCTTAATTTGCTTTTCTATCTCCTGTATGTCATTTTAATCTGCTTATTTATCTCCTGTGTGACATCTTAATCTGCTTTTCCTGTATGCTACCCTAACTTCCTTCTTTCTCTCTCTAACATTCTACTTCTGTCTCCTGGATATATTATTCTGAAACTTCTCTCTCTAGTTTGTCATATTGTTTCTGCTTCTCTGTTTTTCCTCCGCCTTCCTCATCATGAATAACAATCAATACTCATGTATTATTTCTTGGGTTATATGACTGGATGATCACTTAGTTGAACCTGAGAATGCATGATTGATAAAATGATTTAAAGTTAAAAAAAAAAATTAGTGAATTCTTTTCGTTGTATTATTTTTACAGCTCGTTTGTGTGTGTGACTTGTTTGTATTGTTTTAAATATTCAGTTAAGCGGAGAATCCACACAGGGAGGTGTAATTATCTGCTATGTAATAGATGATGCCACGTAAATTATTTGTTAGTGGAATCAAGTTTTTTTGTTTTTACCTGAAGCCGAGAAACGGTATCTTAATTAACTGGGTCACTCTTAGCTGAGCTTTTACCCCACAGACAAATGCAAACCATCTGACAAGGGCCAGAACATGATTTTCAGACATAAAATACAACACATGCAGAGGACAAACAAAGGGGAAAAAAAAATTATGATAAAAACAAAAGTTATGTCTGGATTGTATTTTCCTGAGATAAACCAATACATAAGTCAGTCAATGATTATACTTACAAGATATCATGTACACATAATGTATGCAGATGAATCACAACATAAAATCTAAATAAATAAAGCAACAGGATGTGGTGATTTTAAACACCATTGGACCTGTGATTTTTTTTTTCAAACTAATCAGCAGGTTAGTCTGACATGGTCTGTCAGAAAACTGTCACACAATGGGCATGATCGGTCATTCACACTTGTTTTGCTTCACAGAGGAGATCGTATTATCTATAGACCTGTCCAAAATGGTAGTCCCCACTAATCACATGCCTGGTGAAAACTGAGTTGCGATACCTGTGACACGTCACACTGATAGGATGGACATTTAAACTAGTGACTGTATGTCATGTCAGTGTTCTCACTGTGATCATGCATGCTACCGCCAAACAAATGAAAGCTGATTTACGTGTACAAGTTGCAGCAGCAAAACAAGTGATGGACAAACTGCAGTCTGAAAAAGTGTGTACAACAACAACCAGAGACATCCATTACAACCAACTTTCATTGCGGAGATGGCATCTGACTGATTGATTAGTTGAGTGATTTCCTTGAGCGACACCGGACTGACTGATTTGATAAGTTAAGTGATTTCCTTGAGTGGCACATGACTGATCAGTGGAGTGATTTCCTTGAGTAGTACCTGGCTGACTAATTAGTTGAGTGATTTCCTTAAGCGGCATTGGACTGACTGACTGACTGATTGATTAGTTGAGTGATTTGCTTGAGTGCACCTGACTGACTGATCAGTGGAGAGGTTTCTATTAGAAAGGCTGACTGATTAATTAAAGGATTTCCACTCAATAGGCACATAACAAAGTTTTATAACCCTGCATATAAAGTTGCCTCTCTAAACCTGGCTGGATAGACTGAGCACCCCAGGAAGCATCTCTTGTTACTGAGCTTTTCAATGCATATGTTGTGCTACGAACTCGACAATTCCTCAATGACATATAGGAACTTGGCTATAACATTGTCCACATCGGCCTCACTGACATCATTATGTGTGACGTACCTCACGGTTGCTGGGGAGTAGGGCCACATTAAGACAGATACAGACTGCCCAAGGGACCTCTTCTCCTCATCCGTCACCTGCCCAGCATAAAGAATACATTCAATAGTTTCAACAAAGAAAGAATAGAAGGTAATGTGACAGTTCTGATATACGGAAGTGAATCATGGACAATTAATTACAGTTGAGCCCACTTAAGTTTAACCCTGATAAGACGCATTTCGCTCAACTCTTTGGAGATAAGAGCTTTTTTAAAGTTTCAGTGCTAAAAAGATGAAGCCTTCAGGGAAGAATTCTCTTAATTTACACCAAAAATTATTTTAAAAATAAAGCGTACAATTAACATTTGCAAAACTATAATTATTTGGGAAGGAAAATGAATAAAATAACAGAATATGTATGAATCAAACTAAAATCTCAACATTTATTCAAATTAACTATTATGATTTTCATAAATTATGCAGGCATTTAAAAAAAATTTAAACTTGGGATCAAACATGACTAACCTGAAAAATGTGGGTGAATTTTTTATGGACAAAGCCTGAATAAGGCCTAAGACTTGTGTTTTTGGGAAATAAGGTCCATGGAGGCGGTTAAGGCACTTCTGCATGATTCTACTCATTTTCATGCCTTCTGTTATGTTTGGGTTGCTATGACGCAGCAGGCATTTTCGCCATCAGGCATTTTCACCGTCATTGGGAAAGGTTAGCCCCCACAAAAAAAGAGGAGGTGGGGAATGCCAAAGTGACGTCACTTAGATTTCCCAATTCTATTTTTTGGCACTACTATATATGCTAGCTGGATAAGTCGAATTCCTGATGGGTTAAACAATTTTTTAAGGTGACTTCTACTTATCCAGACTCGACTGTCGATTAGTGAAGAGTTATTTGGAATCGGTGATGTGGTTTAATATGAATGATGAGATTACAATAAATGGAGTAAGGAAGATGTCTTGAAAGACACTGACTTATGTAGAGAACTGACTGCCTACATCAGAAGGGAAACAATTTACATTCTTTGGTCATGTGATGAGTAGGAGAAAACTGGAGTACATTGTCACAGTGGAATGCTTGGAAGGGAAAGGAGGTAGAGGAAGACAGAGAAAGCAAGATGCTTGACAAGTTTGACATCATGGCAGGGAAAATCATCTATGTCAGAACTGACTGAAAGACTACGAGACAGAAGGATGTGGATAGACATGACAACCAATGCCAGCAGGTATGGACTATCAAAAGAAGAAGAAAAATGTGACAATGCAAACATTATTAATCATCACTATCCTGCCTCGTCGTTGTACGGAACATAGGGCTCACAGTTTATTCTCCATCTGCTGTTCTTGTCTTGTACAACTTACGCAAACAAATGAAAGGAAACATTTTAAGACACATTTTCCCTTTATAGAAAGAAATTCTCCTCTCTCAGACTGCAGTCTCAAAAACTGATACCCAGTGACTCAATGAGTCTATATATGGGTGTAAATCAAAGAAAAGCAAATCCTAGAAAAATTTGTAATGTAAAAACCGAACTGGCCACCCTATGGTTATGAAAAAAAAACCTACTATCCAAAGTGGGTAGATGGTACTCTGTTTTAAGTATTCATCATCGTCATCAATCAGCAGCTTCTTTAGAGAACGTCATTCTCGTCACAGCACACTTGAAAGTCTCTCTTTCTCTAGCCAATTCTCCAGCCTTATGTGCTTTAATAGCCAATGCAGAAGTAATGGTGATTTAAAAAAAAAATTGTGCCTTAATTTATAATAAGAGTCAGAGGTTTTATTTTAGGACAAGTACAGAAATTTTAGTATCTGAGTACATGGATAACATCCGATGGAAGATGTATCAAAGAGATAAAGAACAGTATAAGACGGACCAAAACTGCCTCATAAAATGAAGAACATTTTGTGCAATAAATCCATATCATTGGAGATTAGGGAAAGAATTCTCACAAGCTATATTGAGCCTGTTTTAACAAATGGCTGTGAATCCTAGACAATTAATAAATAGGCCAAACAATATCTTGAGGTCTCGGAAATGCGGTTTTACAGAAGAATCCTTAGAATTCCTTGGACAGCTAAGAACAGTAAACCAGATCTTTTGAAAGAGGGAGGTGCTCAAAGACAATACAAGTTATCACAAAGTAACATCATTTTTTGGTCATGTTATGAGAAGATGGAAAATGGAACGTGTTGTGACCACTGGAAAGATTTGTGGAAAGAGAGACAGAGGAAGACAAAGTGAGAAGATTGTTGACAGCCTTTGTCATGGCATGGAGAAGGGTCGACACACGAACTGACACATGCAGTTGGGGATCACATATGGAGGAGAGACATGATCCCCTACGCCAGTCGGTAAGGCACTTGATGATGATGATGATCTTCAATGTTTTGTATCCACTTTTGCAGGTCCAGGTGTCTCTGCATCGCTTTCAACAAACTGTATCCCTCATCACTGTTCTCTCCAGACCCCCATGAGTTTAACAAGGCCAAAATACCCCAGCCTTTGGACAGGATGTTGTTTATGAGCCAATTCTCCCTGGTACTCAGATCCTGTAGGATGTCAGTATTTGTCTTCTTACTGGTCCATAGTATTCTAAGAATTTGTTTGTAACATTTCAGTTGAAAAGCTCTGTATTTCATCAATGATTAAGTGAGAGTCCATGACTTGCACTGTAAGTCATCATCATGTAGCAGGTCCTTTGCAGAACGTCACTCTCATCACAGTCTGCCTGTAATAAACTCGGTCTCTTTCCAGTTCTCCCGCCTCATGAACTTTCACACTCAAGGAGTCACTTATATCCTGTACCCATCTTCGTGTCGGTCGACCCCTGCTCCTCCTTCCTGGTACCATGCCTTCTACTATAATTTTTTCCAATCCATCGTGGCGCTTGATATGACCAAAATATTTCAGCTTTTGAGAAAGGATGCTGTTTATTAGCCAATCTTCCTTGATGTTCAGATCTTTTAAGACATCAATATTTCTCATCTTCTTTGTCCAAGATATTCTGAGAATCTTTAATTAGCATTTCAGCTCAAAAGCCCCTATTTTCTTTCTTAAGGACTGAGACATAGTCCACGACTCACATCCGTATGCAGCCACAGGGAAGATGCATGCTCTCAAAATTCTAATTTTTATCTCCTTGCTGGTGCTTAACCATAGACTTTTAAGGCTGTTCAATCTATGCATTGCTATGGCCATCCTCCTTTTAATTTCTGTCGAACAGTCTCCATTGTTGTTTATTATAGAGCCTATATATTCAAAGTTTGTGACTGTAAGTACTCCACACATATAATTGTTGTGGCAACAGACACTGTCAATCATGAATCACTTCACGCAATCAGTTCCCATAACAATTTAAAACACTTCACGCAATCAGTTCCCATAACAATTTAAAACAATTTTTTATTCTAGAAGATAAGTCACAGCATGGAACCTGACACAACTCACCTCCTGCATTCTCCGGGAGAACTGAAGTGGGGTGACTTTCCCCAGTATGTTGATCATGACAATGTTAGAGTGGACACCACTAAGATCCACACTACAGACCAGGTTTCCCTGCAGCGAGCTGATCGCTGAAAGTAAAGAAATGTACAACATGCCAGCTTGTCCTTTGACACTGGCTGGAGTTGTCGACAGCTAAATATCTAAAACCAGTGGATAAAAGGTGGAAATGGTGCTTTAAAATAAAAATTTGTCATGTTCAACCTGCATTCCCAAAGGGGGAGCTTTGGGTTATAATTGTGACTAGGCTATGTGCACCATAAAAAATGCCTTAGCATTGCATGCCATCAAGAACCCTGAAAAGGATTCTTGCAGTGCTGATGCAATCAAAGGAGACAAACCTAAATACTGTCCGGACCGGCCATGAAGTCGTCAATCAGTGAGCCAATGGGTGCCCTGGTCAACAATGTAGGTTGAAGTAATATTAAATAGGCAAATTTCACACACACATACAATAGTATACATATCTGAATATCAAAGGGAACTGCTTCATAAAGTCTTGTTTCTCCATATTAAAAGCAATAATGGTTTGGAGAGAATAGATGCATGGTATAGTCCCTGAAAGATAAGGCAGGGGTTGACCAGTACAACAGTGGTAACAGGATGTCAATGACACACTACCATACAAGTTTCTGGCTGGGAGAATATGGGTTTGGGAAAGGGTAGAGCAGGCAGGGGACCTAGTGGTTTTTCAGCATCTGTGATAAAAGCGACATTCTGCAAAGAGACACGTGGAGAGTTGCATGCAGTAGCGAAGGATAGAACGACTGCATAAGCTGGTTGAGGGCCCGTGTTCCACTGAAGATAGAAGGCACAAGAAGAATTAATAGAATCAAACCTGATGGAATAAGAGCAAGGGGGGAGACAAAGACCTGGATGGCTGACTACACAGGACTTGATCCATAATTCTGGTGACTGAGATAGCACAGATATCTAATCTTCAATTTTGGAGGGATTTAAACAGATAATAAAACTGGAACTTTAAAGGTTTTTTGAGATTTGGAACATGGGATCCTTTACAGAGCTGGAGCAGCTGAAGAAGTGAGTCATGAGTTATTAGATTATAGAATGGATGTAACAAGGATTCAAGAAATAAAGTGGCCACAACAAGGTACCATATAGGAAAATAAGAATAATCAATCACTGTGTATGGAAGAAACACTCAAAACAAAAATGAACTAGGGATAGGATTCGTATTCAAGAAAAAGTTCACCTGCTCCAACATGCTAAGAAAAGAAATACAATCTAGAATACAATCTGGAAAAAAGTATTCTATGCCCTTCAATGCCTGCTAAAGTCAGTCTATCTCTCAACACCAATATCAAAATCTATAAAATGTTGATAAGTTTTGGATGGCTCTGAAACTTGGAGCATAACTAAAACAGATAAAGCTTTTAACAAATTTGTGAAAACAGAGTCTTATGACGAATTTCTGAGCACATCTAAGATACAAACAGTGGGGAATAGAGAGTGATAAAATTCATAATCTGTTTAATTCACCACTAATCACTGGCACCTTGAGGGCTAACAGACTGAAATGGCTGGGGTGTGCTCAATGCCAGATGACAGAGAAGTAAAAACTATACACAAGGGAGCTGATTGGTTGCAGACCCCGAGGCAGAAAACACAAAGATGATGGAGAGATAATGTCCAGACAGACCTACCAACACTTGGTGTCACCAAGTGGGAACAGAAGGTGAACCAGAGAGTTAAATGGAGGTGCGTGATGTCTGCAGCAGTGAACTTTAAGGGCTTGGAATGATGAAAAAAAAAAGATGATGACTGTGATGGAAAAACCATGATAAAGTAAGTAAGTAAAGATCCCTTGTCAGGCCTTTAGGCGCATCGGGTATATGGGAAGAGCGCCCATTTTTTTCAGACCATCGGTACTAGGTGGTTAATGTTGTCAGCATTACGCTAGCTATCTTTAATTCCCCAGGACAGTCATTCTGGTACCCATTTTAGGCTGGGTCGACCTGCGACACCACATACCATGATAAAAATCCACGCAGCCAGCAGTTGGTTTCGATAGCGGTACGTTGGAATTACGAGTCGGACTCGCAACGCCTAAGCTACGGACGCGCAAAAACCACGATAGTCTATATTTATCAACATGCATCATAACAGAGTGTACATCTGTCTGTTTTTCTCTCTGCACACATTTATGAACTCAACCAAACAAGAACCAACAAATACCTGTGGCAATCCTGAAAGCCCTATCATGATCTTCCACTAGTCTAGGTATCATTTGCTCCAAGGCCACCAACATGGGAGCAGCAATCACCCCTGCTTGTCTCATGCCTCCACCAAGGGCTTTTCTGGCCTTTCTTGCCCTGTAAACATGTTGAAGTGGAATATGAGATCGCATGAATCATCTGACAGAAACATATTAGATCAGTAGAAATCTCTGACAGAAACACATTAAATCAGTATAAATCTCTCAGAAACACAATAAATCAGTAGAAATACCTGACAGAAACACATTACCTCAGTAAAAATGTCTAATGGAAACACATTAGATCAGTAGAAACGTCGGACATAAACACATTGGATCGGCAGAAATGTCTGACATAAAAAAAAATTAGATCAGTAGAAATGTCTGACAGAAACACATTAGATCAGTAGAAATGTCTGACATGAACATATTAGATTAGTAGAAGTGTCTGACATAAACACATTAGATTAGTAGAAATGTCTGACAGAAACACATTACAGAAATGTCTGACAGAAGCACATTAGATCAGTAGAAATGTCTGACATAAACATATTAGATTAGTAGAAATTTCTGACATTAACACATAAGAATAGTAGAAATGTCTGACATAAACACATTAGATCAGTAGAAACATCTGACATAAACACATTAGATCAGTAGAAATCTCTGACAGAAACACATTTAATCAGTATAAATCTCTCAGAAACACAATAAAGCAGTAGAAATGTCTGTCATAAACATATTAGATTAGTAGAAGTGTCTGACATAAACACATTAGATTAGTAGAAATGTCTGACAGAAAAACATTACAGAAATTTCTGACAGAAACACATTAGATCAGTAGAAATGTCTGACATAAACATATTAGATTAGTAGAAATTTCTGACATTAACACATAAGAATAGTAGAAATGTCTGACATAAACACATTAGATCAGTAGAAACATCTGACATAAACACATTAGATCAGTAGAAATCTCTGACAGAAACACATTTAATCAGTATAAATCTCTCAGAAACACAATAAAGCAGTAGAAATGTCTGTCATAAACATATTAGATTAGTAGAAGTGTTAACACATAAAAATAGTAGAAATGTCTGACATAAACACAATAGATCAGTAGAAATGTCTGACATAAGCAAATTAGATCAGTAGAAATGTCTGACATAAACACATAGGAATAGTAGAAATGTCTGACATAAACACATAAGATCAGTAGAAATGTCTGACATGAACACATTAGATTAATAGAAATGTCTGACATAAACACATTAGATCAGAAGAAATGTCAGACATAAACACATAAGATCAGTAGAACTGTCTGACATAAACACATAAGATCAGTAGAAATGTCTGACATAAACACATTATATTAGAAGAAATGTCTGACAGAAAAACATTAGATCAGTAGAAATGCTGACAAAAACATATTAGACCAGTAGACATATCTAACAAAAACACATTAGATTAGTAGAAATGTCTGACATAAACACATTAGATTAGTAGAAATGTCTGACAGAAACACATCAGATCAGTAGAAATGTCTGACATAAACACATCAGATCAGTAGAAATGTCTGACATAAACACATTAGATCAGTAGAAATGACTGACATTAACACATCAGATCAGTAGAACAGTCTGACATAAACACATTAGATTAGTATAAATGTCTGACATAAACACATTAGATCAGTAGAAATGTCTGACATAAACACATTAGATTAGTAGAAATGTCTGACATAAACACATTAGATCCGTAGAAATGTCTGAGATAAACACATTAGATTAGTAGAAACGTCTGACATAAACACATTAGATCAGTAGAAATGTCTGAAATAAACACATAAGATCAGTAGAAATGTCTGACATAAACACATTAGATCAGTAGAAATTTCTGACATAAACACATTAGATCAGTAGAACTGTCTGACATAAACACATAGGAATAGTAGAAATGTCTGTCATAAACACATTAGATCAGTAGAAATGTCTGACATAAACACATTAGATGAGTAGAAATGTCTGACATAAATACATTAGATCAGTAGAAATGTCTGACATAAACACATTAGATCAGTAGAAATGTCTGACATAAACACATTGAATTAGCAGAAATGTCTGACATAAACACATAAGAATAGCAGAAATGTCTGACATAAACACATTAGATTAGTATAAATGTCTTAAATGAACACATCAGATCAGTATAAATGTCTGACAAAAAGACATTAGATTAGTAGAAATGTCTGACATAAACACATTAGATCAGTAGAAATCTCTGACAGAAACACATAAGATCAGTAGAAATGTCTGACATAAACACATAAGATCAGTAGAAATGACTGACATAAACACATCAGATCAGTGGAACAGTCTGACATAAACACATTAGATTAGCATAAATGTCTGACAAAAACACATTAGATCAGTAGAAATGTCTGACATAAACACATTAGATTAGTAGAAATGTCTGATAAAAACACATAAGATCCGTAGAAATGTCTGACATAAACACATTAGATTAGTAGAAACGTCTGACATAAACACATTAGATGAGTAGAAATGTCTGACATAAACACATAAGATCAGAAGAAATGTCTGACATAAACACATTAGATCAGTAGAAATGTCTGACATAAACACATTAGATCAGTAGAACTGTCTGACATAAACACATAGGAATAATATAAATGTCTGACATAAACACATTAGATCAGTAGAAATGTCTGACATAAACACATTAGATGAGTAGAAATGTCTGACATAAATACATTAGATCAGTAGAAATGTCTGACATAAACACATTAATCAGTAGAAATGTCTGACATAAACACATTAGATTAGCAGAAATGTCTGACATAAACACATAAGAATTGCAGAAATGTCTGACATAAAAACATTAGATCAGTAGAAATGTCTGAAATAAACACATCAGATCAAAAGAAATGTCTGACAAAAACACATTAGATTAGTAGAAATGTCTGACATAAGCACATTAGATCAGTAGAAATGTCTGACATAAACACATAAGATCAGTAGAAATGTCTGACATAAACACATTAGATCAGTAGAAATGTCTGACACAAATACATTAGATCAGTAGAAATGTCTGACACAAATACATTAGATCAGTAGAAATGTCTGACATAAAAACATTATATCAGTAGAAATGTCTGACATAAACACATTAGATCAGTAGAAATGTCTGACATAAACACACAAGATCAGTAGAAATGTCTGACAAAAACACATTAGATTAGTAGAAATGTCTGACATAAACACATTAGATTAGTAGAAATGTCTGACAGAAACACATCAGATCAGTAGAAATGTCTGACATAAACACATTAGATCAGTAGAAATGTCTGACATAAACACATTAGATCAGTAGAAATGACTGTCATAAACACATCAGATCAGTAGAACAGTCTGACATAAACACATTAGATGAGTAGAAATGTCTGACATTAACACATTAGATTAGTAGAAATGTCTGACATAAACACATAAGAATAGTAGAAATGTCTGACATAAACACATTAGATCTGTAGAAATGTCTGACAAAAACAAATTAGATGAGTAGAAATGTCTGACATAAACACATAAGATCAGTAGATATGTCTGACATAAACACATTAGATCACTAGAAATGTCTGATATAAAGACATTAGATTAGTAGAAATGTCTGACATAAACACATTAGATCAGTAGAAATGTCGGACATAAACACATTAGATCAGTAGAACTGTCTGACATAAACACATTAGATCAGTAGAAATATCCAACATAAACACATTAGATCAGTGGCCGTCGTTTTGCTCTTGTAGCTGATCTTCTGAGATGTAGTGCTTGTGATGGAATTTGATCTTGCTGCATTCTAACGAGATGGCCAAACTACTTCATCTGCTGTTTCTAGATGAATCTGGTACAAGAAGTTGTTCCCACAATCTGTCTAATAGTATCATTATTCCCTGGATCTGGGATGGTTAGGCTGGCTGCTTTTCTCAGGCATCTTATCTCACAAGTGGTAAATTTTGCATCTATGGGCTTTAGACAGTGTGTCCATGTTTGGCACTGGTAGCTTAATGTTGGAATGAATATGCTGTTTATAATCTGTCTCTTTGCACAAATAGTTATACTTGGATGTCTCAATAATGGTGACAATTGGTATATAAGTGCACTTGCTTTCTGACATCTGGTTTCTATTTCTCTGTCAATTCTACCATCTTCCTGATGATTGGCTGGGATTTGCAGCTCAGGTTTCTACAGGATGAGGAAGAGTGTCTTACACCAACCTTCTTAGTCACCTCTTATGACATGCATGGGAGATAATTATAATCCTATTCTTTGCTTCCTCCCCTTACCGGCCCCGATATAAAGCTTGTATGACAAATGTATATGAAATAACGGGTTAGGGGAAATATATGCAGGTCTCACTTACAAATTTATGAAACTCTTTGGACCTGCAATGATGGATCCTACAGGACAACACAGGCCCTGAAAGAGAAAGAAGAAATCAGTCCAGCATGTCTGAATGTTGAATTAGGAAACAATATCACAGCACTCGGGACACTCCTATAAGTGCTCCATTGCCATCTTCAGCAGCAAGCGAAGAGTTCCAATTCCAATGGCACCAGTAACTGTCTGATCGTATATCTGGCTCGTCTTTCCCCTGAGTACTGAGCATAGGCCAGATCACCTTGTAACTCCTCACAGCACCATTCTTTCCAGACCGTAATGATCTATCTGTGCCTCTGCACTGTTTAATCGCTCCCAAAGAGCCCTTAAAACATCCTGTGCCCTGCCATACACAGTTCACCACCAAATGGTGCAGACCCGGCCAGTCAATCTGCCTGCTCATTTCCCAACACACCGACACGCCAGAATGAAATGACCAACTCATAATAAAGGTGGCTGACACATGCCAGTGGACGACTTTGTCATCGGTCGGGAGACTATTTTGGTCAGTCTCCTTTGATTGCATCAACACTGCAAGAATCCTTTTCAGGGCTCTTGGTAGCGTGCAGTTTCTAAGCAATTTTATATGGCGCAAATAACCTAGTCACAATTATAAAGCTCCCGATTCTGTGATGCTGGTTGAATGTGGAGATTATGCTGTGATTTACAGCCAGGCTGCAATATCTATGCCTTTCAGCCCAAGGCAGACCAAATTTTAGTAAACCCTTAACAGGCTGCCTTTACAACATGCTTGTTAACTCTTTAAGGCCCAAGCAATGGTGTGAGCATTGTTTGAGAAATTCCGTTTTGCCCAAACAACGCTGTCATCGTCGATCGTGTGTCCCGTAGATTTTGCTTCGCACACGCTTCTCCATACTAGTTTCTAATGTTGGGAGGTACGATTAAACTATTCAGGGAAAGTTACTCTGCCGAAATCCTTTTAGTTTCATTTCCTAGCCTAAACCACTTGGGCATTATTTGACAGAAATTTTTTTTCAATAGTGTATTTTCTAAGTTTGTTTTTGAGTGCCATGAATACCAATGTTTCAACCACAAGTACAGGTCGCAGAATGCGTCTTTCTGCGGCTGAAGCTCTGAATTGTTTCAGTCAGATGTTTTTAACTGTGATAATAATAATAAAAATTTAGATTTTTCAGAAAGTGATTTTGACGGTGAATTTTTACCAGCGAAGCTGAGCGATCAGCTGTTCGGAATCTAGCGATTCTGATGAGTTTATTACACAATGTCACATACTACCATATTTATGGTGTAAGAGAAGGAAAGTGCTCTAAACAAATAGATTGTACTATACTATGGCTAAGTTACATTGAAATCATTGCAGCTACAGTCTGTAATTAACAGTACATAGTAAATAGTGTGTGTGTAATGGCTCATTTTTCTGCCATTTTTTCTCTGAAATTTTGCTCAGCACTCTGTGAGAACTTATAGTCCCTGAGTGCTAAACTAACCCATAAACTTATCATAACTTTGGAATTTGTTAGGAAATTGAACAAACTTTAAAGTTTTGTTCTCAAATTTGAATATTCACTACTCTTATGGCTGCAAAACCATGGTAAGTGAAGAATTTGTTTGTGAAATGTTGTCCTTGTGAAATTAACACCTGCTAAATTCTTCTTCCCTACTAACTATAACAAAATAAACAAACATTTAACAAAATAAACAAACATTTATCATCAGATTCAAAATGTACATTCATTTCTCTTTAAAAAAATATATACTTTTATAGGGATTTTACCGCCCCCCCCCCCCCTCCCCTCTGCCATTTTTGTAAAGGGAAATTAATGTGGGCCAAGTCTGTCAAAATTCATGGGCGTGAAAGAGTTAAGGGACAGCGGGTCTCTTCCCCTCTCCGCCCACCTGGTCCTCAGAATTCACACAGGGAATACATGAAGATATAATGATAGTACTGACTGCAGACAGAACAGATTCAGCAGTGTATGAGTGTCTACAGAGAGTGTGGAAAGCGGGTGATTCGTTATGGTCCCCCAAAGCCTACTTCTTTGTGTTGAGTTGTTCTCCTGAACTTCCAGCTATACAGTTGTTTACAAAAGGGTAGAGGCACTGGTCACTACAAGTTTCATCAAACGACCAATACCAAACTTCACTGAGTGTCATCTCCACAGTGAAGGTTAGTGGCCATGGATCTCCAGCAGTTTCCATCGGGCACCTTCCTTGTCTTTTTTACCAGACCAAATCCTGACCACACCTTGATGCCTCTAACACTGTCTAGAAAATCAAAGAAGAAATTCATAGAACGACGGAAGGGGTGCATTGTGCTTGATAATTTTTCTTTAGCCAGTAAGCAGATAAAAAGAGTTAAAAAAATAAAATAAAATATGGATACAAGGAGAAAGAGAAAGAGGAGGGCAGGTATCACAAAAACTAGACCAAAGACAGAAAGATTAAAAGCAGATGAAATTTTTATCAAGTTTCAAGTGGCACCATCAAAACAGGAACTCTTCGTTAGCAGCTTAGGAAGGGGATGGAGCACATAAGGAAAGAGCGCACTGAGGTCAATTTTTCATTGATTCATTTATTCATGACATCCTCTAGCTCTTACAGCTCACTGTTTTCGTCCATTATGATTTTGCACAGATTATTTATTTAAATGTGACTAAAGCAACTTTTTTCTTCAGCATCATCATTTTCATATGTGACACATCAGATCTTCCTCATTTTTATTTCTTTCATCCAAGAAACATTCTTCCATCCTCTGGATTTCAAAACATCAGTTTTATGCTTCATCGTTTTATCAGGTTCCATGGTCCACTTCAGAAATTAATGCTGACCACACACAGCATTTCTTCTTCTTCTGTTGTTGCTCTCTGTGGGAATTCTGGCTAGAAAGCTGCATCCAGGGCTGTTGCCCATATAATAGAAGCATCCTGTACAGGCAAGGTTTTCCAATTCTACTTCTGAGAGGTACAAATTCTGTCACAGCAGTAGTAGTCAGAACTCATCTGCTGGCAAATCTGAAATTGGGTTAAATAACTGTTCCACATTCATGTAGCTCTAATCAGTTGTAAACTTACCTTGGTGAATGCCACAGCCACAGTATCAAAATACTGGGCAATATCTGCAGCTGGCACTCTCAAGGCCACGGCTGCATTAAATATTCTTGCTCCATCCAGGTGAAGAAGCAAGTTGTGCTTGCGTGCAAGTAACTCAACCTAAGAGAAAAAAACAACACACAATCAACAAAAAGTAATATCATCTACATGCCTAGAGCTGTTTAATATTCAGAAGGAAAGCATCTGAAATTGACAATTCTGTGTGTCCATTACAGGTAGCTGTATGTGGGTTGATATTTCTGCCTGCTTGTCAAGGGCGTTCCTCCTAGACCAGCTGTCAAGCAAGGCGAAAGACCTGATCTTCCCTGGCAAAACGTTAAGTTTTCATGTTGCATTTCCTCTTCCTAGGATGTGGTTAGATTTTCTTCAATGTGCTACACCGACTGAAGCCATTGGTACAATGTGGGATGTCAGGTTTAGTATAGCCACCTAACATACCTGCCATTAACAGAAAACAGGTAGTAGTAGTAACAACTACTGTTATACAATAGTGTTAGTCATATCTGCTGGCAGTCTTACTTTCAAAAGAGTAGAGCAGCAAAGTATCCACACAATAGTGAAGCAATATTACATTAACAGGACTGGCCACATAGCCAGTATGTCATACCACTGGCTTCTAAAAGAAAATATTTCATGGTGAACACAGCAAAGTAAAAGATCTCCAGGCAGTCAGAAAAACGAAAACACATTTAAGACAGGTTTAAACTTTTTTGGCACCAGTACAGATGCACAAGAAGCTGCTGCCAATGAAGGATCTAGCTGACCTACACTTCTTTATCATGATGTAGCATTTAGTGAGGTATCAGAGGTGTACTGGAAACACAGAGACAAGCATGACAGTTAAGTGCCGCAAACCAATCCTCTAGTGTTTCAATCATCTACTGTTCACAGTGCCTGAGAATTTCACTAGCTTCCATGCAGCTGCACAGGAATACCTCTGGAAATGCTCCATTCTTCTCCTGCAGGTCACACAAGGAGAATCTCACCAGTGTACCAACTATTCAGCAGTGGGAAGGGTCTAAATGTGTGTGCATCAGATTCAGTCACAGATAATCTTCTAACCCTTCTGGCCAATGAATGACTAAAACAATCGGTCACAAATACATGGGAATTTCCCAAAAAATTCTTTAATTACCCCAAAAAAAAAAAAATGAAACTAACACATTTAAAAAAAAATTTACCCAGGTAACTAATAAATTGTAAAAAAAATGTATCTGTCTATATTAAACAAATTTTTCTTTCAATATATACAACGACATACAAAAGGAGTAATCAGTATAATCAGTAAACAACAACAGAGTGAACAATTAAATGGGATGCATTCCCCAGGCCTGAAATAAACAGGTGACTCATGAAGTAACCTCATAACCTTTATCACTGAGGTTTACAAAAAAATTCTAAGTCAACCTATCTTTGGATTTATAAGGAAACCCCTTTAAATGCTATAGCTAACATATTCATATCTGGGCTTCCTAAATGCTATGCAGGCCCACAAAGAACAAATGGCATTTAACCATACTTTCTGAGAACAAGTCACAGCAGAAAAAGTGAAATAATGACATATACAAGATACAATTGGAAGCGACTAAATGTAGACTTCTTGTGGTGACAAGGTTTTAAGGCTGTCTGCTCTAAGTGAAAAATTAGTCTGGTTATTTAGCTTAAACTGTGCAATTTTCAGCCAAGGAACCTTTTAATATGTACCCACGGCCTTATTTTTTGCATGCATCTGATAAGACCTTCTCTAATACCACAGAACCAATGAGAAGCATGCCATTTCATTCTTATTCGGTAACATCTATACCACCTCACTATCATCATGAAGCAGGTCCATTGCAGAATGCTGCTCTCATCATGGTCTGCCTGAAAGAAGCTCAGTCTCTCGCCAGCTCTACCATCTTATGCACTTTCCTACCCAATGTGTCTCTTATATCTTGAGCCCATCTTCCTGCTGGTTAGCCCCAGCCCCCAAGCCCCACTTTCCTAGTGCCACGCCTTCTGTTATATTCTTTCTAATCTGGCAAGGTGCTTGATATGGCCAAAATATTTAAGTTTCTGGGACAAGATGCTGTTTACTAGCCAATCATCATTAATGTTAAGATCTTTAAGGATGGCATCACCACTTTCCTTCTACGTCCATGGTATTCTATACCATCTACAATCTGAATAATACCAACATAGAAGCAGATGTCGTACCTCTCGGCCACTCTGACCTAAAATGTTTCAGAACCATAAGCATGCATAAAGTAACCCCAAAGAGAAACAGGAATCTGTCCCAAATAACTGACATCACACAAAGCAATGGCTCCTAAACCATACCTCTTTAAGATACTCTAAAGGTAGGACTTTCCCTCCACATCTATTGTGTGTGTTCTCTATGCAAATAGCTCGTGTGAGTGGCTGATGATCATCATCCACTGGACGAATCTTAGCTTCAACTTGCCCCAAATCCATAGTGCCATCAGGGAGGTTTGGTACACAGCACCCTTGAATCCCTGCCAGCTGTGGTATATGATTATAAATAAATTATACATATTTGATCATTTACACAGACGGTTCAGTGTCAAGAGGCAAAAGAAGTGCTTGGGGCTTTTTAGCAAAAGTTAATGGTGGACGTTTGGTGCAGGAGAGCCTAGCAAATGATACCACAACATCCAGCTTAAGAATGGAGGTGGAGGAGGTTACTGCAGCTTTCCGCTGGCTAGAGAACACGACACACACACACATTGTAATTGTAACTGATTCAGAAAGCATGCTGAGAAAAATCAGAACAGGTATGCTTCGTGCAGAGTGGCATGCTTCGCTGTGGAGGACACGAGTGAGGAGTATTGCTTGGATTTTTTCACCGGGTCATGCCAGTGTATAGGGAAATGAACAGGCGGACAGACTGGCTGGCTCTGCACAACTTGGTGGAATACTGCTACATGATAGGGCAGACGTGATTAGTGCCTTGTGGGAGAGCGTGTACAATGCGGAGGAGCAGATGGATCACCACAGTCTAGTGAGATTGATGCAGTTGGGGGTGACGAGAGGTTCTGGCAGAAGCTCAAGGCTCAGAGGAAAGGCAAGACGGACGTTAAATCAGAAAGCTACTGGCACCATTAGTATCGGAACTCTTCGCTGGCTGCTGAAGATGGGGACGGAGCGCTTATGAGAATGGCCCGAGTGCTGTGATGTCGGTTCTTAAATCAAATCAAATCAAATAAATTATACATAATATAAATGACTGCCCAGAAAAAAAAACATGAAAGTCGAACAGTATATGTAGCTGTAAGAGTACTTTCTTCAGTCAGGTGATGAGAAGAGAGGGGGACACTGCAAAGGAAATATCAGTCATTGAAACAGAAAGAGACAGACATGTATGGCACAGAGGAATCTCCTGAACAAAGCCGACCCTGAACATTAAGGACCCCCAATCTGTGGTCAGTCCTAAATTCTTAAATCATCAGGCAAGGCACATGAAGAAGTACTTTGGAGTGGTTGCTGCTTCGTAGAACTGAGCACGCATGGGTATGCCCAATGTGCAGTGACATCAATTGTGATAACAAAACATAAAATAACATCTTGTAGGGAGTCGGCAGTCCGAAACCCAAGTTCAAGGTGTCTCCTTCGTGTCAAAGAACTGCATGGCTGTTGGGTGAACAGTTGTTAATGAAGGCAGGCAGGTCGTTGTAGGGGCGACGCCTAAGTCCCTTCCCCAGCTAATAATGAGGGTACTGCTGGGGTGACCCTTTATTAACCCTCATATAATGCTTCAGGTCAAAATAGACGCTAGGCACGGACACCTTTTTTTTTTTAATTGTTTAATGTTTTTTTTTCTTCTGCCAGACGGTGGCCGTTGCATATTTGCTCCATTTGTAGACTGGAAGGATAGTTTCGTCGCCCAGCTTCTGAGTTGAGTGCATGGTGTGACACTGTGAGCTACGTATGTTTTTCATTGGCACAGGAGCGGAGCAACTATGGGGTGACCCGTTTGCTATGAAGCTGAAACTAGGATTACCAGATAACCAGACATGATGATAATGATCTAACTACCTAGATGCAAACATGAAATGTAAAGTATTCCATGCTATCCTGGCAATACACTGCCACCAGACATATTTGCTTGATCAAATCACACCTGACAGGCCACGGAGACAGTTGGTAAAACATTTGATGATTACAATAACAGTTATTCTCAGTAACTGTTGTTATACTTGCTATTTCCACAACAGCTGATTAGAAATAGTCACAATATTGGTGCTAGATGAAAGGTTGACCTATTTTTTACAATGTCTCCAAATTCCATCTTATTCTAACTACTTGTTTGCATGTAACTAATATTTTTCTATATCACACTGGTTTTTTTTCTCCTTAATGCTCAAGAGCTCAGGTATAAGGGGATAGTAAGGTTCAGGGCCTCAGGTCTGGTAGGGTTAAAGCATTTTGGGTAAATGATGCTAGCTGCCATATTTGTATAAACCAGCTGGCACTCAGGGGAATGATGTTAAAATCACGCTGGCTGCATTTGCTTCACAGATAACTTCATTAGCCCTGTTTTATTTTAAGCTGTGTTGACCAGGGATCCAAAAACAATTTTTTAAAAATCCCCTTGTTTTGATGAGGATCTGAATACACACACACTGGGCCGGGGGGCAAGCATGTTAGCCATTGTGCTACCACAGCTCTGTCAAGCCAAAGTGAACCACTTCTCAACCGCAGAATCAGACCATTGTGATGGTTCTATAAGAAGCGGCTGGCCGAATGGTTAACAATACAGGGCTCCCATGCTGAAGACCTGTTACTCTTCCCCACCCCTTCACCACCTATACCACAAGAGTGGTTAACAGACGCATTATCTGCAGTTTCTTTTTAATGCTAGTAGTTCCATTCAAAAAAATTTCAGAAACGGATCAATTTCTTTCTGCACTCAAACAAATTAAACCGGGGCCTTTGAGGTGAAATTATATAGAAAGATTCTCAGAATACAATGGACCAAGAAGAAAAGACATACTGACATCCTAAAAGATCTGAACATCAAGGAGAATTTGCTAGTAAATTATCTCTTGGAAACTGGATTACTCTGGCCAATCAAGCGCCATGGTGGATTGGAAAGAAATTAGCAGACAGCAAGGTAGGAGGAAGATAGGCAGGGGCTGACCAGCATGAAGAAGGGCACAGGAAATAAATGACACCTTGGGTAGGAAAGTGTATGAGATGGGACAGCAAGTGAGAGACTGAGTTGAGACTGAGTTTCATTCAGGCAGACCATGATGGCAGCAACATTCAGCAGAGCACCTGCTACACAAAGACTTAAACAAAGCTCATATTTCAAATTTTTTTTTTAAAATCAATCTTTCAAGATTGCAGTCTGCATGATTCACAACTTAAGGATAACAATCACACAAGTAAAAATCCCAGAAACCCAGTTCAATCGTATAACACCTCTGTCATGAAGTAGCACCTACAACACAAGATGGGTGGATGTGTGCAAGTTCCATCACGTTTCAATGTTAGAGATTAAATAAGTAAATTTCTAACCTGGGTGTAACTTCCAGTATATTCTTCAAAAGCTGGTCCCAGAGCAGTCACTGCCACAAGGATGTGGAATATTAAATCTTTACATAGTCTAGGTCGTGGCTTACAAGAGGTGGCCGGTTCCCTTTCTCAGATTCTTTCCCAGAAAATTCTCCGGTACACATCTTTTATGAGGCTGGTAATGCCCAGAGCTATACCGGTCACAATAAATGATCCTGCCTTGCTGGGAGTCAAACCTAGACCAGTGAATTTGCAGAGACCTGAACCACTAACAACTCTGCCACCAAAACTCCATTGATTTAAAACAAACACAGAAAATCTCCAGGAATATTCTTAGTGTGGGCTACTGGCCCCCATTTGGGGCATGGGGGTGGGGGGGGGGGGGGGCAAGGTGTAGACCTCATGAGAGACAAGGATCCAACACTATACATACAAAAAATCCAGATCTGTAAAACAAATGTGCATGCAAATTCAAGTTCTACAACAAGACCATAACTTTCTGTTGGTTTACAGTGGGGAATGCTGAGAAAAGAGGAGAACCAGGAATATAATACCAGGTACTATGGCCATAAAGAACAGCCAGAGAATTTGAGATGTTACTTATGGAGGCAGTTAAATAAGGGACAGGCTTGCTATGTGCTTACTGTAAATGTCTATGCATCCTTGACTACAAACCTGGGCCAATCCTGCAACCTCATACAAATTCATGTGGGACTGCTCTCCAATAATGACTTCATTAAATCTTCCATTACATAGGACCATTACTGCAGATAGATTTATAAACCGGATTCATTAATATCTACACAAGCATAAGTAAAACCTTAAAAAATGTTTACAGAATGTTGGTTTTTCATCATTTACAGTAGGGCTATTCAACTGGTGGCCCTTGGGCCAAAACTGGCCTGCGAAAGCCTAGCAAGTGGTCTGCAGGTCAGTTTAGGCCAGATGTTCTATATTAAGGATCTGTCTATGCTGGTGATCAGGCCACTGGCCCGTGACGATCCCCATTTTCAAAATGTTGGCCCCCTGAGCAAACTTAGTTAAATAGCATTGATTTACAGCTTTCCAGTTAAATATTTCACAAATCTGATCTGGAACACAGTGGAACACAGTGAGCCAAACAGAGGCAGGTAGGCAGGTAATTGTTTCCCTCCGGGATTGTTGTCTGTAGGATTACCATTATATAAATTTTGGTCAACTAGGCACATTAAGGAGAAATTATGAATATAATAATAATAATAAAACATACAATATTGATAAGCCTATTGAAATTCCTGTCTATTCTTGCACAAAAGGACAATGATACAACAGTGCTTGTGTGTCCACCATACAAATACAGACAGATGGACGCTGATACAACAGTCCCTGTATGATCCCATACAAGTTCAGACAGACGGACCCTCATACAACAGTCCTTGTATGTCCTCATAAAAGTTCAGATAGATGGACACTAATTCAAAAGTACCTGTGTGACCTGATGCAATGTAGACAGATGGACCCTGATACAACAGTCCATGTATGTTTCCATACAAGTTCAGACAGACAGACAAATGCTGATACAACAGTCCCTCTATATCCCCATACAAGTTCAGACAGATGGATGCTGATACAATAGTTCCTGTGTGTCCCGATAAAAGTACAGATAGATGGACGCTCATACACCAGCCCCTGTGTGTCCCGATAAAAGTACAGATAGATGGACGCTCATACACCAGCCCCTGTGTGTCCCGATAAAAGTACAGACAGATGGACGCTCATACACCAGCCCCTGTGTGTCCCCATACAAGTTCAGACAGATGGATGCTGATACAATAGTTCTTGTGTGTCCCGATAAAAGTACAGACAGATGGATGCTGATACATCAATCCTTGTATGTCCAAATACAAATTCAGACAGATGGACACTGATACACCAGCCCCTGTATGTCCTCAAACATGGAACTAACGAACGAACAAACTTTATTTGGAAAGAAATAAGAGTCCACTGACCTGATGCAGTGTTTGCCATGGTACACGTGGGAACCAGCAGGGCATCTTCTTTACCCAAAATATCTGCAGTGACCTCCTGAAGTTCTGGAGAAAACATCCAATCAATCAGCAGGTTATGATTTCAGTTAATCTTTCTGCTGTCATGCACATTTTGATGGAAAAAAGGATATAGTGAGATATGATAAGTAAAGGAAGATGACTTGGGATGGGAGAAAGAAAAAAGTGAAAATGAGTAAGACAGGGAGAGAGTAGGAAAGTCAGAAAGAAATAAGAGTATGGGGATAGAGAAGGGAAGGGAATACAGAAGGGAAGTGGACAGAGAACTAAAAGAAAGAGAGAAATGTTCTGAAGCTGACTTTTAAGACAGCCATTAACAACATCAACATGGGAAATTATTACAAGCATAACAGCAATTTAGGCTGTATTGTAGATAAAGATGGGGGGAACTGACATAGATATAAAATGTGAATACAAAAGACAAGAGGTGTCATGGCATTAAGAGATCGAGGGCAGTTAAAGAAAATTAAAACTAATATTAAACTTAACAAATTTAGCTCTTATGTCAAAAACATACTGTTATATGGATCTGAAACATAGAAAAAACAACTAAAAGAAGTTCTAAAAAAACCATATAAAGTCATTAACGTGCCTGTACAGAAGAGAAGGAATTAAACAGTATGACAGATGACTATTTTAAAGCTTTTCATAAAGGGAGATGAATGGTCGTAGACCACAAGGCAGACTGAGAAGACGATAGAGAGATAATGTCCAGGCAGATCTGCAAACACTCGGTGTCACCAACTGAAAACAGAAGGCCGACCAGAGAGATGAATGCAGGCGAGTGATATCTGCAGCAATGAACCTCAAGGGCTCAGAATGCTTAAAAAGAAGAAGAAGTAGAAAGAGAGAACCAAACAAATTCTAGTGAACAAGAAGTAAAGACAAGATGCTGGTGCTGAGTATGTCCCACTGAGAAAACCTGAGAACAACATAACTGGAATGTCTTTGCACTGGAATCAACAGGGCCACAGAAATAAAGGCAGACCCCAAAAATACATGGAGAAGAGAACTAAACATTGAAGTTAAAAAAAAGACAAGGAGGACATGTGGTGAGCTGCATGTAATAGCAAAGAACAGAATGACCGTGGCATGAGCTGGTTGAGAGCCTATGATCCATTGAGAGATACAGGGCAGAATAAGAAAGAAAAACAGCCAAAAATATTCAATTTATAGAAAGCAACCATGCTTGCGGATTTGTTTCAAGATGTTCTGAGTAAACACAAATGGTGCAAAAACATAACATGCTAAATGGCACACGTACATAACAGTTACCAGCACAAGACAAGTTGATTAGTATACATGAATAACAGCTGACCAGACATGATAGATTGACTGACACACATAACAGCTGACCAGACATGACAGATTGACCAACACACATAACAGCTGACCAGACATGACAGACTGACCAACACACATAACAGTTGACCAGACATGACAGATTGACCAACACACATAACAGCTGACCAGACATGACAGACTGACCAACACACATAACAGCTGACCAGACATGACAGACTGACAGACACACATAACAGCTGACCAGACATGACAGATTGACTGACACACATAACAGCTGACCAGACATGACAGATTGACTGACACACATAACAGCTGACCAGACATGACAGATTGACTGACACACATAACAGCTGACCAGACATGACAGATTGACTGACACACATAACAGCTGACCAGACATGACAGATTGACTGACACACATAACAGCTGACCAGACATGATAGATTGACCAACACATATAACAGCTGACCAGACATGACAGATTGACTGACACACATAACAGCTGACCAGACATGACAGATTGACTGACACACATAACAGCTGACCAGACATGACAGATTGACTGACACATATAACAGCTGACCAGACATGACAGATTGACTGACACATATAACAGCTGACCAGACAGATAGATTGACTGACACATATAACAGCTGACCAGACATGACAGATTGACCGACACATATAACAGCTGACCAGACATGATAGATTTACTGACACATATAACAGCTGACCAGACATGACAGATTGACTGACACACATAACAGCTGACCTGACATGACAGATTGACTGACACATATAACAGCTGACCAGACATGACAGATTGACTGACACACATAACAGCTGACCAGACATGACAGATTGACCAACACATATAACAGCTGACCAGACATGACAGATTGATAAACACACATAACAGTTGACCAGACATGATAGATTGACTGACACAAATAACAGCCGACCAGACATGACATAATGACTGGCAAATGCGTGGCACAATTTGAAATAAATATTAACAAACAAGATACCCAAGTCAAGTTATTGAAACACTGTTATCAACATACTATTAACTGTTGGATCTTCACCACAGACATCATCTCCAACTACTGCATTTTTCATAGCCTCTCTCATCTTGCCTGTTGGTCGTGTCACTGTGTCACTTCTCAAATCAATAACAGTGTGTGTGTACACGCCCCTGCTTTTCTGGCAAACTTTTGTAGATGTGAAATCACCCAATAAGACCAGATGTTTGTAGCAAGCAAAACAGCCTCTCAAAATTTTCAAACTGACAAGATGTGTTCTTGACATTCTGTAAGATTCAGAGTTGCTGCAATATAGTTCAAATCAGATGTTTAATATAATGTTATTTGGCAAGACAATTAGGTAACACATATAGGAAGACAATCTGGCATGTAAAAATGAAACAAAAAACATAAAATGCAACTTAGTAATTCAATAGAAAAAAATCTGGTTTTTAACAGCAGTTTTATCCACACTAATGCATTATTTATTTCTGGATTGAAGGCTGACAATCCAACATTTGAAGGCTGTTAACTCCAAGTGCAAGTGATATGGTAGTGTATTAGCTAACATGCTTGCCAGCCAGCAGTAATTTGTTCGATTCAATATAAGACATGGTAATTTTTAACCCACCTAGGTTAAAATCGCCTAAAATGTGCACCAAGACATTTTCTGGTAATTGTGATAAGGTCAATGTACTTATCATGCTTACGCCATGTAGCCAAGCAATGTTTATTCATGTGACTATTTATTTGTGCAGGTCTCTACTCTAGGACTATACGTGTATCCCATTGTGATAGTTGACTGGGTTATATTTTGGTACTCCTGTCAAATCCGGACGAAGAATAAAAAGCCTTGGACGACTTAGTCAGAGTTCTCTCCCTTGGCCGCACTGCAAACAGTGATCGGAAAAGCCAACGAAACAAACGACACAAGCAACATGGCAGTTAGCTTGGCGAGGCTACAGCAACGTGGCAAACTTACGGCATGGCATCTATCTGCACGAGGTAGTAGTCCACCAGACCAACTTCGTCGACGCCGTACACAGTCACATACACACACAAACAATTGAGGGCCTCTGGATGCTGGTCAAACGCACAATTCGCCAACGATTGGGCACCAGCCGCACACTATTGGCGTCATATTTAGCAGAATTTCAGTGGCGCCACGCCCACAAACATCAGATTGTCGGCCAGTATTTCGAAACCCTACGTCAAAATTTTCACATCTAACCCTAACCCTACCCCTAACCCTAACCCTACCCCTACCCCTAACTCTAACCCTACACCTAACCCTACCCCTAACCCTAACTCTAACCCTACCCCTAACCCTACCCCTAACCCTAACCCCTAACCCTACCCCTAACTCTAACCCAACAACCGCATGATGACTACACAACCATTCACGATGCCTCACGCAACCGTACGCAACCCTGCACGCAACCATATGATGATAGGTAAGTGTGTCGTTTGTTTCGTTGGCTTTTCCGATCACTGTTTGCAGTGCGGCCAAGGGAGAGAACTCTGACTAAGTCGTCCAAGGCTTTTTTTTTCTTCGTCCGGATTGGACAGGAGAGCCTATATTTTTACTGATGGTCTTCACTTTGCAGTTCATATTTTCGCACTCTGATAAATAATGCTCCATAATCATTACTATTTCTAACATTCAGCCCACTACCGAGTAAGTTTAAGAACTAACCAATCTTGTTGCTTCTCAACAAAACTACTTTGTCTAGACCAAGTCACCAACTCGAACTTTAATCGGCAGCATAATTATTTATAATAATAATTGCAGTATATACTTTTATTACTTTAAAAAGCTGGAGAAAAAAACATGACAACTTCAGCCATTTAAAACCTCATCAAAGTTTTCAGCAACCAAAAGACATATACTTTTCCAGACGATATCACGAAAAGCGTAAAGAGAGCTATTTGGTAAAAAGAAACAAGCGGCCAGCAGACAACAAACTTTTCACGTCTGCCATAGTTGTATCCGGGGCTGCCAGATCCTCGTTGGACAAGGGCCATCAACAGCCATCAATTCTCGTCACGCCTAGTGGCACATGAGGCTTCAGAGAGGACTTTCTATGCCTTCCTGTCCTGTACAATCTTTAGTGCAGTTTTCCATGTCAAAGAAGCAGGACTCAGTTCACTTTCCATCGCTCGTCTCCATATTGTTTTTAGGCGCCTCTTATTTCTTTTTCCCTCTGGTGTCTAAGTGAGAGCCGTTTTGGCAGGTATATCAGGATTCATTCTCATAACGTAGCTAAGCCAGCCATTCCCATCTTCTCTTGGTTATCATACTATCTTTAAGTAGTTAAGTGTTTGAGATTGTCTCTGGCCAGACAATCTTGATAATTCTGCGTAGAATTTTGTGGTGGAAGGTGGATAGCTTGTTCGCATCCCTTCTGGTCATTTTCCAGCATTCTGCTCCATAAAGAACTGGCATAAAGATGCTCTTGTACAGTCGGAGTTTTGTTCCTTTGCTGTAACTGTTGGATTTTCAGATTTGTCTCAACATCCCAAAGACGGCTGTAGATGTGTTCAAACGTGTTGGTTGTCTTACTCGGCCATTCCCAGTTGGGACACCACACTGCCTAGATATATTAACTGTTCTACATTTCCAGGTGTTTGGCTATTTATAGTCACTGGTTGTTGGTTTGGACTGTTTGTTACTATCTTAGTTTTTGTTGTATTCATTCTCGGTCCCACCATTTCTGCTGCGCTGTGTAGTCTGTTAATTATTTTTGTAAATGTTTATGTGATAGGAGTGCTATATCATCTGCAAAATCAAGATTCTCGGTCATGATGAATAGAGTCCATCGTATGCTTCTCGATGCCTTGTCTATGTGTTCTTTAGCATCCAATCAATCACAAAGCCAAATAGTACAATATATCAAGAGCTGCTGTGTCGATTCACACTTATAGAAAAGAAAACGTGCTGAAAAGAAGTTATAGTCGAATAATGCAGATCTCTGAATGACATTTGTGGCATTCGATGCACACACACAAGCGAACACACACACACATACACACTTTTTTATAAGGGAGGAGCGAAAGCTAAGGTTTCAAGTTTACTGTCTAGGGTACCAGGATTTGCATTTTCTCTATTAAAGAACAAATCACCTCTGCTAGTCTACGAAACAACCCTGTATTAAGTAAAGTACCTACCCATGCCCCCTCCCCCAACCTGTCTTCCCCCCCCCCCCCAACCCTTCATCAGGTTAATTTAACATGCAGACATGAGAGCCGATGATGGACTGAGCTTAGAGCAGACGACAGATAATCTGCGGTGACCGACCAGCAGAGATACACTGCCAAACTGCCAAAAAGTCAGGTAAAGACAAACCGCATTTTTCACAGATTTGATTTGATTTGATTCAAGAACCGATATCACACTACTCGGGGCATTCCCATAAGCGCTCCATCCCCATCTTCAGCAGCCAGCGAAGAGTTCCGATACTAATGGTGCCAGTAGCTTTCTGATTAAATGTCCGTCTTGCCTTTCCTCTGAGCCTTGAGCTTCTGCCAGAACCTCTCGTCACCCCCAACTGCATCAATTTCACCAAACTGTAGTGATCCATCTGCTCCTCCGCATTGTACACGCTCTCCCACAAGGCACTAACCACGTCTGCCCTATCGTGTAGCAGTATTCCACCAAGTTGTGCAGAGCCAGCCAGTCTGTCTGCCTGTTCATTTCCCAACACACCGGCTTGACCCGGTGAAAAAATCCAGACAATACTACTCACTCGTGTCCTCCGCAGCGAAGTGTGCCACTCTGCATGAAGCATACCTGTTCTGTTTTTCAAAGATGACAATAAGAAAGGTGTATTGTTGTGTCCTAAAATACTCGCCACATATCCTTCTATCAAAAACATCCCCAAGTGTCACGCGAAACCTTTTTTGAAGTAGGTCAGACTTATCAACACCAATTGCAGTGATAATAAATTGTTGCCCAGAACAGATAGGAGAAACTCCACGATGGTTCTTATGCACTGAACGTTGTATGTCCCAATATGGTATAATTTGTGTAACTATCGTGGTAGTATATCAACAGTTTGGGGACATTTAGTAGCACAAACCAAACTAAGACATGTCAATATTTAAGTTCTTTTTTACAATGCGAGCTTTGTTTTCATGTTTTTTTTAACACTCACTGCAAGTGACAGGATGATGATTAGGGTTATACACTTTCTTCGGGTGTGGATTGCGTTAACTCTATACAGTTTACTAATTCTAAACGCAGGTAAAAAAAAGTTATTTGCATATCCTTCACAAGACATTGTAGAACCAACCCTGAAATTGTGTGGTGGTTGTGGTGTTTCGAGGCAAATGTTACGTTCAGTAGTTTGTCATATACGCAGGTAAGCATTCAATTCAACATGGGCAATCCTGCCAGAGTGGTTAGTCAGTTTGCAAGCCGATGTAAGGGGACCGGATTCTGTCATTAGAAACGAAAGGATATTGTTCCCACTAGTACAGCTGAGTGGTAGACCTATCCTCATGAACCTGGTACTAGACACTTGCCAGAAAATGAAAACAAATAAGACCGAAACACACACACATATACACAAGCGCGTGCGTACGTACGCACACACACATTGAGTTATATATAAACACACATATAGACACACACCGACACATACATACACACACATATACATGCACATATTATTATTTTTTTTATTAGCGTTACCTGAAATAATAAAAGCAGGTAATTCATTCGGTCCGAGAGATGTCCAACAGATAGTTTCTTATACGTCATGGTCTTAAGTTGAGGGACTGCCAAGAAAGGAAAGCAATGGCAAACTAATTTCTTCAAAATGTCAACCAATGTGTTTACTCTGTTTCTCAAACGTCCTGTCACCTGACGATAAACAAACTGGTTTATGTTATGCTATGACAATCGATGTTCCTGCTACATTATGTAAGTCCATGCTCCTTCCGCGGATAACAGCCGCCATCACAAGGTTCCTGCACTGACTGTTCTGTGCTGGCTCGTACTGGCTACAGGTGCGTCGTGACGGTTAGCAGTTTTGATGTTAACATCTGACCTAGGGCTGATGGTGGGTATGTCTGTAATGACTTAATAGGCTATAGACTGAATGTTCCGTCAACTGTCGACTAAATAAGGCCCGCAGATAACATCATTATTTAAAAAAAAAGTCTGGGAGTATCAGTGAGCTCTTAAATACAGCAAAACTTTACCAACAGGATTCGTGCAAACATTACTAGAACAATAGAAAATACGAAAATGACGATGACGACGAAGAAGAAGAAGCAGCAGCA